CTTCAAAAGAAATGTACATGGGATTCTACTGTTAATTGCATTAATTGTATGTATTTTTGTATTTGGCACTTAACTGAATGGGTAGATCTATGAAATTGGTGTATCTTCAGTTGGGTGACGGTCTGCTCTGTGAAGTCTTCTTCAGGATCTCAGGAAGACAGGGGGATTTCTCAGCATCTATAATCCAATACTTTAAATTTGTGATTTGTTTTACCCATCAGTCATGTGGTTCACTAGAAGACTGACTTCTTCCTAAGCAACAAGATAGGGTGCTCATTTCATTATCCATGAAGAAAAATCCTAGAGGCAGATTTTAAAAAAAGATACTTTCATGGTACCTGGAGTCCCTTATGAGAAGAGTGGTCCTGTGAAGAGAGAGTTGGTTGGGAATCTCTTGGATGAATGTTCAAATATTTCCTTAGAAATCAGTCTGGGGCAAAAAAATGAGATCTCCATGAAAATGTGGGCATTAAATCTCTCTTCCCTAGAGTTCTTTTTGTTTTAGAAATTGCCACATCCTTTATTTAAGACACAAGTTGAGGAGCATTCCAATCATTTCCAGTAGACTGGAATCCTACAGCAAGTCAGCTGAAGCTACCACATAGTCTTCTCCAACTTGGTGCTTTTCAGATGTCTTAGATGTTGGTTACATTATTGTTTCCTTCTGCTCATGCTTGCAGATTAAAACAGAAGACCTCAGTGACTCTTTGCAAACGTCCCTCTCCTCCAGATCAAGTCACCTAGCCCAGGGGGCTTCCATGATGCCTGGAGGACAAATTTCTGGGGTAAGAGTTGGCACTCTTGACACATTCAAGTACTGGTGGCAAGTTCAAGAATAGGAGTTTCCTTGAGATGTGGTCTGGAGGCCCTCAGAGCACTTCGGTCTAGGATGGTTCAGTTCTGATCAGTGTTTGAATGAAATCCATTGGGTATGCTTAACATGAATGAGAGGCAGGGCATTCTGGTTTTATAAACAGAAGAAAAAGGCTAGTGACAGGATAGTTTCTTGAGGACTTGTAGTTTAAGTGGGGGTGTATGTATGGCATGGAAAAAATGAATAGAAATACATTTCTCACTTTCTCAACTTGAGAACCTGATGCTGTCCCATAAGGCTGACAGATGAAAGATTTAAGGAAAGGTTTCTTGAATCCATAGCCAAAAGACATGGCTTTCAACAAAACCTACAAATATTTATGGATGTGATGGAATGTATCTACAAAGGGGGGGATGATGTGGTGGATTGCAGGAGAGAGCAAGGTGATCAGGAAGGAGGGAGTGTATTCCAGGAAGGGAGACAAAAGACCGCACAGTCTAGAACTGGAGCTTGGGAAGTGTGAGAGATTCAGGATAGCCACTCCCTAGAATCTCCCAGGGTATATCCATTAGTTGCAGTAATATAGATTGAGTCTGGCAAGATTCTGTCTATATGGTGTAAGCCAGTGTTGTCCAAACCTGGCCACTTTAAGATGAGTGGACTTCAACTCCCAGAATTCCCCAGCCAGCATGTGGAGTTGAAGTCCACTCATCTTAAAGTGGCCAAGTTTGGACAACACTGGTGTAAGCAGTAAAAGAACTGAATTTGGATGAACTGTCCTCTTGCTGTTCTCGGACTGAGCCTGACCATGGAAGATGAGGCTATTGGCACTTGTAAACTTTGTAAGTGAGGTCCAGGATGCAGACTCCAAAAGCTCTTGCTCATCTCAGAGGACCAGATGTGGTACATTTGGGGCCAGTGAGTAATATGGCTGGATTCACCCATTTCATGAAAAAAGCCATGTTGTGCCTTTGTCTTCTCGCAATGGGTAAAGGCAACCACTGTGCTATGGGAATCCTGGTTGATGCCGAGAATGGGCAACTTTTTCTGGGCCAAGGACTTACTTAGGCCTTTGAGTGGCCAAAGGCCATGCTCCCCCAAACAGGGTGGGGCCAGGGCACTAAATTTAGATTGCTTTCATTTACATTTAAATTTAATTAAAATTAAACAGAGTAAATATGATTACTCTCCAGTCACACTTAATAATAACTTAATACTTCCACTCCTTGTGTCACATTAAGAGTTACAATTTTGGCCACACCTTTTTGAGGGAGCCACGCCAATGCTTGTAGGGGTCATGTACAACCCCAGATGTTCAGGCAAAGCACCGCTGAGTTTTGGCTTCATTGTGTTGCGTGGACCTGGTCAGGGATTGGGGGGGAAGGGTTATCCAAAAAAGGACCTTGGTTAAACAAACAATAACTTAGTACAATGAGGGCTGTATGGTCTGGGCTTCCAGTGGCCCTCCTCAAGCCAAGAGGAAGCTGGCAATGGTCATGCATTTGCAAATGTCTCATTATTTAAGAAAGAGGAAGAGAACAAATCCAAAAGCAGAAGGGTGCCATCTGAAGAGGGACAGGGAGTCCAGCGATGGGCTGGCTGTGGAAGGGTGTCCTAGTATCTGACCTGTCTTCTTCTCCTTCAGAATGTGAACTCTCTTCATACTTTGCAGCAACTCGTGCAAGTTCCAGGACCTATGCAGTCTGTCCCCCTGTTCCTGCTTTCTCAAGGCCCAGCAGGACAACAAGGTAATGTGAACATCCCTAGATGTAGTTTGATTTCTATAATGTCTGTGTAGATGTTGTTCCCTTCTCCTGGGTCAGACCACCAGTTCTCTAAGCCAGGAACTACTTCTTTGAGCTCCTTCTCATTTCTCTGAGGTCTAAGAGACCAAGCTTTCCTCCAGGCAACGGCTGAGCAGCCTTCCCCATGAGATGCTTAATTCCTATTTCTGAAGCTTTTTGGTCCTTCAGTAGCTTCTTGGCAGCAGGGAGGAGAAAGTGGGGCCGCTCCAATGATGGTTGCTAACAGCATCCTGCCCAAGCTACTCCATTCCAAATCCTCTGAGCATTAGTCCTGTTGCCCTGATACTTTTAAATCATCAAACATCTTAACTGCAAAAGCTTTAACCACTGTTTTGCTGTTGACAATGATCACTTGGTGTTTTTGCTACCCCGGTTAAATTTCTGGGACTCAGTCAGCTGTGAATCAGGAGCTCATAAATAGAAGAGGGCTCAAACAAGTCTGGATCCCATCTTTTGCAACATCTAACACTGTAGGATTGGATTTCTCTAGCAAGATTGCTATAAAGAGAGGCCTACTGTCTTCAGCCCCAGATCCTTCATCTTCTTGGACTCTCTTCTTCTTTTTTAGTAATGTTTTTTTTTAAGTTTTGTGTTTTATGTATTTATATGCATTTATGGTTTTAATGTTTTGTGTGAGCCGCCCAGAGTTCCCCATTGGGGGGGAGATGGATGGGGGAGAAATTTAATAAATAAATAAATAAAATAAAGTAATGCTAGAGAACCTGTGGGTCTCCAGGTGTTCTTGAACTCCAACCCTCAGCATCCATCATCACTGGACAGGCTGGTTGGGAAATCAACATCTGGAATGCCACAGGTTTCCCTTCCGTTTGTAAAGAGTGCAACTAGATAAGGGTAAACAACTCCTTCAAGGTCACTCATGTCTTATTTCCTTGGCAAGAAGATGGATGTGGATTGTGACTGCATTTTTCTGCAATGTTGTTTTCCCAATTTAGCCTATTGTCCTGGATTTTTCTGGTGGTGTCCCATCCAGCTACCAACCAGACCTACCTTTTAAGTCCAGAAGAAGATCAGCAAGGTGTTGGCATTTGCTATGCATGTGAAATGCATTCACCTGGAAGTTCTATTTTTTATCATTTTTTATTTAGAAAATGCATATGCTCACCATTCCCTTAATACAACTCTACATCATCATCGTCA